TGTCGTACGCGTTCTCCTGCTCCTGCCCCTTCAGGTAGATCCGTAAGTATCCGTCTGAACAGCTGCGGGGGCGGAGGGAACACAAATTAGGTCAGCTCTGGGAGGAAGGGGACAGGGACAGGCCGCTGATTCCGCTAACCGAGGCCGCGAAAAGGGGATGTCCCTTTCGGCCTTTGTCGATTTGTCTAATTCTCTGTTGTGCGGCGATTCACTTCCGCCAGAGAGGGCTTCCCCGTCATCTATCATATGCTTTTGTCCTGCCGATTACTTGAAGGTGAAATATGAATACTTGCAAACAGATGTTCCTATTCATGATCAGTAATCATAAAGATGAGGAAATAAGGCCAGACAACGCACAGACACACGCAGATGCAATCCCTCTTAACCCCAGACTCACTTTTTATCTATCTTAGGTTTCGCAGGTATTTCAAAGACGTCGTAGAACTGCAGTCGAACTCGCTCCAAATTCTGGGCGTCCTGGAGGCCGTAGATGAAGTAGCGGCAGACGATGTTCGGGTGATACGGGAACGGGTAATTCGGGCTGTACACGGTGCCGTTGGACTCCTTCTTGCTGAGAATGCGCTGGTCGCATTCCGTGCCCCGGATGTGCTCGGCCTCGACGGTCTTGATGAAGTCTGCGAGAGAGAGGACTCGTAAGGAAAGGCGTAAGATGAGCTGCATGTTCACATCGCTTGACCGATCGCTTTTCTTACTTTTCTACTATACGAATCTTAACAATGAAATAAAAATGTCACTGACATACACGGAAAAAAATATCAACTAAATCGCGCACCGGCACCTGTTTCTCTCCACCAGAGATGCACCACAAGAGAACCAGAGAGCAAGCTGCACGGTACTCAAAGCGCGGGTGTAATAGAGCTTACCTAGTTTAACGTAGCTTTCCGAGAAATTAAAAATCCCCATAAAGCCTCTGTTCTGGGTGTCCGCAATGCGCTGCAGAGTACTGAAGGTGAGGAGCAAGGTGCTGCCGCTGCTGAAGATGACCAGGTTCCGCTGCTGGCCGCAGTAGGTTCCGATGAGCGGCGAGATGTGGTCGGGGCCGTCGAACATCTTTATCTGGTCGAACGGACAACTGGAAAGAGAGGGACGAGTACGGTTAGCCTTACGGTTGTCATATATAAACAGAATTTACACTAAATACTAGACTATAAATCACATAAGAACAAATAAGGGGCCGTCGCACGAGTGAAAGAGCATTCCAACAGGACGACGCAGCGTCTGAAGAGCAGGAAATAAAAAGGAAACTTTACAAGCCGAAATTTCCATTCCAGGGCTGAGCTCAGCGCGCAAATATCCTCGCCCAATGCTCCCAGCTGCAGGGCGGCACAATGGCCGACGGAGCGATTCTTCAGAGTAGAAGCTGAATGAATGCAGCTGCGAAGGCCTGGGCTCGAAAGAAATCCGAGACTCACTCCTCTGCTCTTTCACTCGGGCTTTTCACCGTGCCTTCCGGAGGCGCCGCGGAGGCTTTGTTTACCTGTAGTAAACACCTCCTGAGGCTAATATTAATCATCCTCATCCTCCCGCACTTCGGCCGAGGCTTCACAGTTTAGTCTTTTGGGGACGGCAAGTCTTCCTTTCGGCCCTTCGGCGTGCCTCTCCTCGGCCTGTTTGCTGCCTCCTGCTAACACCTATTCCACCCCCTTGTTTCGTCTTCCCTCCGAGTTCTCTCGTTCTCCCCGCCCCACCTCTATCTCCACCTCTCCGTCCTCGTCTCCCTCTTCTCTTCTCCTCCCCATCTTCAGCTTCCTCTTTCCGATCCCTTCTTCCCATCCTCTCCTCCCTCTCCTCTCCTCCTCCTTCTTCTCCACTACCTCTCGCGTCACCTCTTCCACCGTACCCTCCACCACCTCCTTTGCCGCCCCCTTCCACTCCCTCTTCGCCTCTCCCTGCCGTAAACTTCCCTTCCCTTCCCTCGATCTTCCTCTTCCTTCCACCCACAGATTTACCCTTCCTCCTCTTGGCTTTCCGTCTCCCTTCGGTGCACCGTTTATCCCCGTTTCCGCCTTCTCCCTCCCTCCCTCGGTTGCGGCTGAGGGAGAGAAGGAGAGGGAGGCGGAGGGAAGAGAGAAAAGAGGGCAGAGTGAGAGGGAGAAGGAGCAAAATGACGAGAGGGAGACGAGAGAGATTGGGTAAATGATAGATAAAGAGGGGAGAGAGAGAGAGGGGGGAGAGAGAGAGAGAGAGAGAGAGAGAGAGAGAGAGAGAGAGAGAGAGAGAGAGAGAGAGAGAGAGAGAGAGAGAGAGAGAGAGTACGATGGGTGAGGTAATTAGATGGAAGTGGAACTCCTGACCCTGATGGCTGGCGAGATGTGGAAAAGCAGGGCGATAAACCGAGGCAGGATAATGAAAGCAATTAATCTTAAATAAGCCTAGGGGTTTGTTGAAAAATAGGAAAGCAGGAAAGCAGGTAGGGGGAAAAAGCAGCTGAAACACGTCCGCCGTCCGTCCGACAGGGCAGGACGCAGCTCAGACGAACACACGCACGAACACTCACTGTGAACCGCCGTAGAAAAGGTCGAAGTCCCTGAATTCAAGCCGCACTCTCTGGCCCTGCTTCCCGATGAACTTGTAGAAGCAGGTGATGTTCTTCGGGTAGACTCCGGGGTACGTGGGCGTCATGAACTGGCCCTGCTTCTGGAGGCCCGAGTGGATGACGAAGCCGCAGAGCGTGTCCGGGGAAGGGTCGCCCACCACGTACTTGGCTGCGAGGGAGAGGCGTCCCTGTTAGTGGGCGTTCGGCCGCGCTCTCGCGGTCAGTAGCTCAGAGCTTGATACTCAAAAAGACTAAAAATTACGTGTTACAATGAAAGAAAAGTGAAATCCACACAGCAACCGCCAAACGACAACTTCAAAGTACTCTGAATCTTTATCTTTCCTTGTTCTAACATTCGGCGGACAAAGCCCGCCATGAGGCCGACATGCCTTCACAAAATAGTATTTCCGTCCCTTTGAGTATTTCGGGAGCCATTGATTTGATTGCGGGTCGGCCCTTTTTCGGCTTCGTTGAACCAATCACCAAGTTGGAAATAAAATGATTTCGTTATTTAATTTGAGCGCAGCGCGTTTTCTGTCCGGTTCAGTTAGGAGCCTTCTGCTGTTTACTTTAATCTTGCGTGGAAAGGATTAGTGCTGCTTTTTCTTCACACGCTCGCTATATATGATATTGGAACATATTTTCTTTATTAAACCGAAAAGTAAATAATAATAATAATAATAATAACCATGAATAAAACTTAAAATGCGTCAAAGCACAAGCGGGTCGCACAAGTCTCCCGCACCTCCTCCAGCCCGCGCCGGACCGCTGCCTCTGCGCCCGCGGTCCCGAGAGCCTGGCAGCGAGAGGGCGTATTCCCGCGAGCTTCCCCCCAAAGCCCACTTGTACTTACATCCGTTGAAGAACTTGTAACTGGCGAGGAAAAGGTCCGAGGAAGTGTTGGTAAAGTCCGTGTAGAAGCTGATGATGATGCTGCTGTAGAGGGAGATGCGGAGGCGCGGCGGGATGTGGCCGCAGTATCGACCGCCGAACGGAGAATTGACCAGGTCCACCCGGTTGGGGTTCTTGATCTCTGTGTACACGTCCAGGTACTCGTGGTTGCACCTGCGGGAGTCAGGTGCGCTCGGTCAGCGGGGGACAGGTATGCGGGGGGGGGGCGGTTTGTTTACACCGAACAGCTGTTGCAGTCGAGGTTAAGAAATGGCGATTTAGGAAATGGAATTAAAAACAGGCACTTTTTTATGGCGTAAGTTATGACTTGCAACTCTATGACACAAGATGCTCTTAAAGAGTTTCAGGAAAAGATGCAACTACCATGTGAAGTGTTTGAAGCCACAGATTGTTTCTGATTTGCTCTACACGAGTCATATATTATAACATTTTAGATAAGTTGTAAACCATGATTTAGCACTATATTCTAACAATAAAACAATAGGCAGGAAGATCAACCACTTATTTGAAGTCTGAATATTCAAATATGACAGTGCATACCTGTAGGTACGTACCTGTAGGTATATCAATTAATGATATAATTTTGCATAATGCCAAACAAAACACAATTAAAATTTAGAATTTCTTTATTTATGAAGTTATCTTTATTCAAGTACTATTTAAAAACTTGAGGATAAGACTAATATGAATCGGGCCTTCGGAGCGAGCCGGCTGGGCCGCTCTCTCCCGGCCGGAAGCGACCTCCTCCGGGGAAGAGGCAACAATGAACACCAAGTTATCCCGTCCGGATTACTTACATTTTTATCCAATAACCTGGAAAATGGATAACGGATAAGCAATACGAAATGGGTAATCGTTTTGCATGTTTTGACTCTAGCTTCACTGCATCGCAAGTGAAATGGCACTTGGGAACCATTGACACCCTCGTCTTTTCATCAACCGGAGATGCCATGAGACTGGGCGGTGGAAGTAGCGTCACACATTCCAAATAAAAGTTTAATGTAATAAAAAATCACCTTCCAATACACCCTTTGGGTATTTGGTACTTTAGATGGTCTCTAACTAAGATGCAGAAGAGGATACCAAATCTGCAGTGAGCAAGAAAGAGATAAAACAGCTGATCACAGAGAGAGAGTAACACAATACCAAAAAAGGTAACCGTGGACTCTTAATCTTATACAAATAAATCTAGTATTAGTAGAGAATAGAACTGCAGCGAGGAACAGATAACTTCCATCGTATAGATATAAAGGCAAATTTACTAAGAACATTACGGTCAAAAGTGCAGATTTAAGGCCTGAGAGGAACGAACACGTCCAGGAAGTCAAAGCCAAACAAAACAATTAAATCAATCCATGAAAATCAACAAGAGAATAAAAATAAATATGATCGTTCCAAGGAAAATGAGTGCAAAAAGGAGCATGCGGAAATATCCCTTGAAAAAGTACTTACGGAGCTCCCTCTGCTCTGCAAAGGCTGCGGAAGAGACGCGGGCGCGCACGGGGGCGTCGCGCGTTCGGGCGCGGCGCGA